AAAGATGAAACCTTTAGATTCAAACCTGAGATGTTAGGAGGTCAACACACAGAGCTAACATGTGACAGTGGGTTTGAATTTTTTATAGTCATGAACTCATCACATTTAAAGATATATCATAAAGAACAGCTTAATACACTTAAATACAAACATTTAAATATATATCATAAAGAACAGCTTCATACACATAAATACATACATTTAAATATATATCATAAAGAACAGCTTCATACACATAAATACATACATTTAAATATATATCATAAAGAACAGCTTCATAAACATAAATACATACATTTAAATATATATCATAAAGAACAGCTTCATAAACATAAATACAAACATTTAAATATATATCATAAAGAACAGCTTCATACACATAAATACATACATTTAAATATATATCATAAAGAACAGCTTCATACACATAAATACATACATTTAAATATATATCATAAAGAACAGCTTCATAAACATAAATACATACATTTAAATATATATCATAAAGAACAGCTTCATACACATAAATACAAACATTTAAATATATATCATAAAGAACAGCTTCATAAACATAAATACAAACATTTAAATATATATCATAAAGAACAGCTTCATACACATAAATATCAAAAACCTTTTTTTACATTTTCTGGCTTTTAAGAGTAACGATGTGCACACTGTACTTTATTACAGTTCTGATACTCTGCCAGCACTCTGATCAAACGTGAGGAAGCAGACTTTGAACTGAACAAAGAGGAGCACACACACACACACACACACACAACACACACACACACACACACACACACACACACACACACACACACACACACACACACACACACACAGAAAACTCTTGACTGAACACTCGACGGCTGCTCCTTCAGCCGACACAACGCGGCTGCTTGTTGCTCAACTTCCACACTCAGCGCTTCATCAACTGTTTTAAGACACAGACACAGACACACACACACAGACACACACAGACACACACACACACACACACACACACACACACAGAGAAACAGGCGGACACACTCCGGATGGGAGGAGCTTTTTCCTGCACCTGTACCTCCGGTCAAACCCTCCACACTCTAATGAATGAATGAAAAAAAAGACCTTAACAACAACAAAAACAACAGCGTGCTTCATCCTCCTCTCATCCCGCGCTCGTCCTCTCGCCCCTCTCTCTCTCTCCTCCTTTCATTCGAGTCTATTAGCAGGAAAGAGGGACTGCCAGAGACACAGTTCCACTGAGCCGCTGCCAACTTCACTACAGAGACGCAGCAAAGCTGCTAAGTGCCGGGGCAAGGAGGGGAGGGGGGATGGGGGACGGGGGGGTGTACAAGGAGGGAGGAAGCGAGGCAGAGAGAGGCATAAAGGGCGAGACCTGTGATGTAAAAAAGCAGAGTCCAGTAATCAAAGCTAATGGCTCCATTGTGTCTAAAAAGCATCTGAAAGCTGCAGAGAGAGAGGGTGGGGGGGGTGTGGTCTGTGTGTGTGTGTGTGTGTGTGTGTGTGTGTGTGTGTGTGTGTGTGAGAGTGTGTGTAGGTTTAACACCTGCTCCTTTGTGGCTTAAAAGCCTAGCACACACAGTTTAAAAGGGTTATTACAGTTGCTTGTTAGTAGCCTTGTGTGTGTGTGTGTGTGTGTGTGTGTGTGTTTTTGTGTTATTATATTCAGTTATGATTGTGGGTCGTGCTGTGTTCAGGGGCCGCGGCCTCGCTGTTTCCTCCTCACAGCGTACAATCATGTGGACCATTCAGGTGCAGGAAATTACAGGGGGGAGGTGGGTGAGGATGGGTGAGGGGTTTAAAGAGTAGCTCAAACAGCAGGGGTTTGTTTTTATCATGCATGTTTGATTTCTCTTGTTTCTGTGAGCGGGATGAGCGCTTCAGTGTGTGTGTGTGTGTGTGTGTGTGTGTGTGTGTGTGTGTGTGTGTGTGTGTGTGTGTGTGTGTGTGGGGGGGGGGGTAGTTTGGGTGAGGAGGACCGAGGGGGGAGAGATGACATGAAGATGAGTCTTCACTTCACATTTCCTGTTTCTCTCTTTCGTAAAAACAATCCATTAATAAAGTCATAAAGACTCAGCGGTCACCTGTACCTGCTCTCCTGTACCTGCTCACCTGTACTCTCAGTGGATGCTCTCCTGTACCTGCTCACCTGTACCTGCTCTCCTGTACCGACTCACCTGTACCTGCTCTCCTGTACCTATTCACCTGTACCTGCTCTCCTGTACCTGCTCTCCTGTACCTGCTCTCCTGTACCTACTCACCTGTACCTACTCACCTGTACCTGCTCTCCTGTACCTACTCACCTGTACCTACTCACCTGTACCTGCTCTCCTGTACCTGCTCTCCTGTACCTACTCACCTGTACCTACTCCCCTGTACCTGCTCTCCTGTACCTACTCACCTGTACCTACTCACCTGTACCTGCTCTCCTGTACCTGCTCTCCTGTTCCTGCTCTCCTGTACCTGCTCACCTGTACCTGCTCTC